AAACTGTGTGCCATTTTTTAAATTTATCCAATTAATATTTATTTAATGCCTGATGTGTACCATGTTAGGCATTGTGAATCTAGCAATGGGTAAAAACAAAATCAGTCCTTGCCTTTCATAATCTACAAAGACAATGAGCAAACAATACAAAACCAAATAAATAATTATAAACTATGACAGGTCTTCTGAGGGATGGTAGTTTGTACTGAATCAAGGGTGGTTCACCAAGACTTACATAGCTGTTTACACTGGATTTAGAGAGTGTCAGAAGAACTTTAAGGAAAACTTTATCTTAGAAACTAGATACATATGACTGGCCAATAGATAGTTAACCACCCAGGGGCCAGCCTACTTCAAGCCCCAGACATCTTAAACCAGAACACTCCCTTCACAACAAATAAGACATCAAGCAATGTGCTTTGAAGGACTTTCTGAAAAACATGTGGAAGCAAAAGGTCCTATACTATGAATGGATACACACACACACACACACAAATCCTTCAACAGAAAATGGCCAAATAAATATGGATTGATTGTTTATTAGAGAGAAGTAGAGTAATTACTGTAAGAAAGATTTTCCTGATAATTTTGCAAATATTCATAATTCTTTAAACATTCTTGAGAAATCTCTGTCATAAACTGAGAACTTTATGACAAAAGGCAGTAGGTTTTTAGAATACAAAAAAACAAACTCTTAAATACAGCCTGGGCTGCTCCACAATGGAGTTAAGTTTAAATATATTAAGCAGCTTTTGTAATTTGACAAAGCTCTTTTCCATCTGCTGCCTCAACTTGCTCCCCCCAATAATCCAACAAAGTTTTTTTTTTTAAAGTAACCTTACCAATAACAACATATTGCATCTATTTAGTTCTTTATGGATTTCAAACATGCTTTCTCATCTATTTTCTCTTTGAAATGTATCCAAAAGTTGGCAGGAAAATAGTATTAATCTTGCTTAATAGCAGTTCAGTAAATATGATTAAGCATGAGGCCATCAGTGAGTGATGGGACAGAAGCATACATGATCTTTGGTCCTTGCCCAGCGGCTGTTGAATGATACACAGCTACTGTTGTTTAGATATGTGTTAAACATCCTCCTTGGTGCTTTATGTCAAAATTGTTCTAATCACATTTCTTGGTGTCTTACTTTCATGAAGTGTACATTCTGGCTGGTGGCCCATAAGTTAACTATCTATCGACCTACTGCATGTATCTAGTTCTGGCTAAAAGACCAAAACCTTGTAATTTTCCTTGCTCTCACTTCAAATCCAGTATGAGTTTTATCACCTAAGTCCAATTGATTTCACAAACTAAGGATCTCTGCATTCATGTCTGTTATTTCATTTAACACTGATTAAGCCTTTGGAGTCAATGTTTTTCCTACCCCCTTAAACGGAAGAGGAAACTGGGATTCTGCGGTTTAATAACCATCCACACAGACAGTATATATGTGGAACATAAATCTACTTGGAACCCCAATCTATCTTACCATGGCCAGAGTCCAAGTCCTTAATGCTAATAGCCACCATTCCTTAAGGACATATCAGTTCCAGGCACTGTGTCATACTGCGTTTGCCTGATGTCATTTACTCTTCTCAAGACTTCATGCTAGTGCTTTAGGTAGCATATCACCATCCCACTTCTATAAATGAGGAAAAGAAACTGTTCGTGAGTGAGTTGACCCAAGCAATTTGATTTCAGATTCCAAGCTGTTACACAGTAAGTTAAACTTCTTCCCAAAATTGAGGTTCAGAAAAGTTCAAAGAATTGACAAAGATCAAGTAAGTAGAGGGCCAGGACCAAGACCCAACTCCTAAAATGAGATTCTACTAGAAGAGCGCGGTGGTCTTGGCCTGGTCTCCGCTCTGGGCTCGTTATGTCCTCACCTCACCTCTGACATCACCCAACCCTGTGTGAATCTCTCCTACTCTAGCAGTGATTTCTCTTTAGCGATTCCCTAGCGCTGTGTCTCCATATCCCCCACGGCTGCTGCTGCCCAGGTAGTCTCCAGGTCATAAGATGACCTGCTGTCTGCTGCAGTTCAGTACATACAGTACCATATGGTAACCAAGGGAACCCCCTAAATCCACCCATACCGTTATGAAAGTTCCTACCTTTTGAAACCAGACATTTTAAACTGATAGGAGCCACAGACCCAGACAATCCTGCCCATCCCCCTCGCTGGTAAATTTTACTTTATTAGCGGTACTGCCGCCCTTCCAGATGTTTTAAATTAAGATTGGGAAAGCTGTGTTTTTACTTGATTGAATCACAGTGCTTGGCTGACATTTTTTGACCCTTCATGTACTCTTTAGACTTATCAGCTAATTGCAGACACTTTGAGAGAATAATACAGCATGTGTTTATTATGACAAATCCTGTTAGTACGTCCTTGTGGTCAAAGATTCACAAGTGCTTCTTTTACCAATCTCCAGTTAAATGTTATAGTTCAAAAATGCCGATGGAAACTCAGAAATTTCCATGTGTGAAAATTTCATGTATCTTTTTTGGGAAGTGGAAGTAGGAGAGACCCAATAGCTCAGATTTTATTCTTGGACTTGTTTTGAAATATTTAGTTGTGAATGATTTATTGGGAGATATCAAATGCCTGAGGAATTTTATTTAAAACATTAAAAAAATTGCTTTGTGTTATTCTAACACCATTGTTTACTGAGGTCCTCCCTCTGGGTTAATTCTGTTTCTTCAAATGTGGCCTGTTTGGAGACATGCCTGAGGACATGTCTTGGGGTGAGACTGGAGGACACTTATCTCCTGAGTTCATGGCATCCACTGGTCAAGGTGATTGATATAGAAGGAAGAGTCCAGTAGCAGCACATGGTGGGGGAACATCGTCACATTCAGGTAGGGCAACTGTCACCTGGGATATGTGTCATTGTACACTAGGATGCTGACAAGTCCTAGGATTTTACTGCAGGCATAAGAGTCCAAAAGACTGATGGTCCATATGAAAGGGGAGGATAGAGAAGCCAATAGGGACACAGGTGCCCCAGATGTATCCTCAGAGTCCCTGATGCCAAATCAGGCTGATAATGAATGGAGGCACACACTCAGCATTGACACCAGGTGCTCAGACCCAGGTGTGTGAGGACCACTGACTTCAGCAGACACACACAAGGGATGTGGGAGTCCAGAACATTCTCTTCTACTGCCATCAGACTTAATTTGGAACTGAGGCAGCACAGTGTTGGGGGTGGGCGGCTGGGTATACCAGAGGCCGAAGAAATTAGGCCAAAGCAGAGGGAACAACTTCCAGCCTCAGAGTCAGAGGGAAACAAGCAACAAATAGAGGAAGCAAAGTACAAAAATACCATGCAGCTGCACACAGCAAAGGAAGTATTGCTAGAAATTCTGCATTTTAGAATTGCCAAAGAAAAAATGCTGCTTTTTATGACTTCTGGGTATATAGAGTTACCTTAAAGACTGTTTGAATCATTTTTTGTTGTTGTTTTGTCATCTGTACACCAGATAAGGATTTTTCTTAAGCTTGCTTGTTCATTTCCTTTCACAAAGCTTCTCTATGAGGATGCCCAGATTTCTCTCTGGAATGGGTAAATATTTTCTCTTCTGAGAAACTGGTTTGTTTTTATTCCACAGACTGAGATAGTCATATATGTTATCTGTCTTTTGCACTTGCCTCTAGAAAACTTGATTCACTCAGGGAGTTCCTCTTGCATATTTCCCTGTTATCCTCACTCCATGCATCACCCTTCTTTTATTTTTTGAATCTATCCTCTGTTATAATTTATTACTTTTTTATTTTATTCTTTCTTGTAGTGTATGTATCACTTAAGCTGGAACAAGAAGCATATCTTAATAAATATATAATGCAAATAAATGGCTTCATCCCAGTGTTAAAATATGCTTTCTTCTTTTACTGACTTCAAATTTTATAAGTGCATCACTAATTGCTTTGATGAGTGCCCATTCCTGAAGAGAAATGGTTTCCTTCAGCCCTCTGAACCATCTCCAATTTCGAACTAAGTAAGACCTAAGAAAAGGTACCACCTTTGGTTATAAATTAACTCAGTGTCTCTACTTGTTGAAAATACTTGCTTCAAATTACTTCCACAAGAGGCGGGATTCAGAGGTGGTGGAGTCAGATATCCTGCTCCAGCCAGTCTTCATTATGAACTCCTTGTGCAGTCTGGGTTCCCCCAGACTCCACTCAACCCTACAAGACTCGCTGGCAGAGAAGAGTACATTCCCATTTGAGTAAGACTCAGGTCTTCCTAAAGAGTGAGGCACAACAAGCAGCCTGAAAAGCCCTCCCTCACATCATCTTTCTAGACTTTTCATTAAGAAAAAGGAGTTCTGAGTAATCTGCAGTGCCTATGGAAAGTTAGCCGTTTCCACCCTAACTCCAGCCTTACTTGTGGTCACTCTTTTATTTCTACTTTTCAAGCTCTTTTTGTGCCAGCTAAAGGAGTCTGTGCATTTCTACTTTGTTACCTTTGCTCATGCTATACCCTAACCTGTCCCTAACCCATTCCTCTCCATTTGAGTCCCACCCTCAGCTCCTCCCTTTTCCAAGAAACCCTTTGCAGTGTAACTGCCCCAAGTATCCTCCCACAAACTTCATAGTTCCCACTGTCTGCCCTTTTACCATGCTCTTGCCACATATGACTGGCGGTTTCATTTATCATGTCAAGTTTAAGTCACATTTCTACGACACAATATTAAACCTCTCCAAAACTAGAACTCCATGTCATAGGCTCAAAAAATGCCTAAAATAAATGTGGAAAGATCCAATGAATGAATAACTCTTTTGGCTTTTTGGACCCCTACAATAGCATCTAGCACAACCTGACTCATTAAATATTTGGCATTGGTGATTATAAAAATATTACCTGCCCTCCCAACCCCTACTGCAGCCTGACATCCTTGAACTTAGAAATCTCAGTGGCTCAAAGCACTATCTAAATTCTCACTTTTGGAAAAATAAGCTGAGCATTGATTACTTTATTTCTTTTCCTTCTAGATTTTGAAGAAATCCTGCATTGAAATTCTAGCAGCTGAACCATCCACCATATGTGCAGGAGGTAAATTGAAACTGAGTGTTAATTGCTTTCATTCAATTGATGACATTTTAAGTTCAAAGTACACATTTGATTCATTGGTGGAGTAGGAGAGAGTTACAGGAAGAGAGTGGTTGAAGAAAAGGAGTAGAAATTGTTAACTAAATTTACTTTTGAAGAAAAATGGAAAGAAAGAAGCAACAAGCCAAATAGTTTAAAAGTATGAAAAAGTCTCTCCTCTGATTGGACCTAATTACAAGGGAATTGCCAAAACATTGGATTCTCACACCAATCCCTAGGCATGTCACCCCCAACACCCTGCTTCTGAATAGCAGTGAGTCACCTTTCATCCCCATGACAGCCCTACAGATAAATACCACATGATCACAGTGCCATAGGCCACCGCTGAACTATTGACATATTTTAGTATTTAGTTGGTGCTTGCCTTTCTGCATAATTAATATAGTTATATTAATGGTAGTGGTCAACTTCAGTTGTCCCTATAAAGGGCCATTACAATTTTGTCATTAATGCACTTAGACAAAGAAGCAGCTCTCTTTGAGTTACAGTATTTTCTCTAAGTGATACAAAAAGAAAAAACAGGGCTTCACTCTTGTTTTGTATTATAATGGATTGCTTAAAACTCCAACCATACTGGTTGGCTCTTAGGTAATTCTCTTTCCCATCAGTATCATTAATTTTAAAGGGGTTTTTAAGCACTTGCTGAATGTCACATACTGTGCCAGGTGCTGGAGTTACAAACAGGATCAGCTTTCTGTGTGAGTCCCTGACCCCCCTGGAACTTGCATCTGTCACTGTTGAGGGTTCCCTGTTGGTATCTTTTTTCTAGCCTCCCCAGATACCAAGTGCCAGCCACTAATCATCCACAGAAGATAAGTCTTGCAACCCTAATAAGACAGTAAGCATTGACGGAAGAACTCTCAGGCCTTTTCAAACACTATACATTTCAATGTTTCAATGTGTGTATTTTACTGGTGTGAATGAGAGACGTACTTGAGGATTTTACTTCCAGAATCTTGGTTACATTTTAGAAAAATTGTAATATGTTCAAGGAGCTAGACACTAAATGTTTTGTGCCAATATCAAAACATTAAATATTTATTTATTTATATTTATATCTAGATATAAATATGTAAGGTTGTTAGGAATACTTGTTGCCTAATTGTATACAGACATGAATACATATATACCTTTAGATAGATAGATATAAAGTTGTTGAAAAAATAGTTGGTGACTCTTCAGAGATATGTGTTAATTTCCCAAAGAAAAGCATTCAAAAAGTTCCCAGCCTGGAGGTGTGGCTCAAGTGGTAGAGCATCTGCCTAGCAAGGGTGAAGCCCTGAGTTCAAACCACATTACCACTCAAGAAAGAAAAAAGGTTACCTACTCATGGCTAAATGAATTACCACCTGGTAATACAGATGGCACAGGTAAATATATTTGCCTCAGGAATCTAGGAGAATCTTTTTAAGAAAAATATTCAGCTAGGTATGGTGGCATACACCTGTAATCCCAACACTTGAGAGGCTGATACAGAAGGATCTGGAGTTGAAGTTCAGCCTGGGTTACATAATGAGGCCCTGTCTCAAAAAAAAAAAAGGAAAAGAAAAGAAGTTTTAAAATTTACAAATTTAACAAAAACATATAACCACATGAACACAGTACTAGGACCTTATATGTGGCCTGTGCAGTGAGGAGGCTCAGATTTCATTAGCTTCAAGGCAAAGCACCTCTGGGCTTTGTGTACTTCCGGTAGAATAAGTGGGTAGGTTATTTAGATTAATTTAATCTTGTGTATAGTATGTGTGAGTACCACACATTTTAATAGTTCCTTAATTTTAGAAAACAAGGAAGTCTCTGGATTGTTCAATTATCCCATTCATAAGGAAAACTCAGGCTTTCAGTTTATCAATCCTGCTGGATGTGTGGATGTGTCCATTGTATTCATTGTCTGAATACAATGAACACAATTTCTAATTCACTAGCATAATCTGGAATATTCCTGTAGGTTTAGGACTCAGAAAGAACCTATTTGCATGCCCCACTGCCTGAGTACCTGCACTTAACAGGTGGTCAATAAATCTGGCTGAATGTCTTGATTCATGTATTCCTTCAAAACACAATACCACTGCCTTTAACCTATTTGCCCCTTATTAATTCCTTCCACCTAACCATAAGAAGTTAATACCTATCTTTGAGCTGTCTGATTAAAATGAAGCACAATTAGAAATTAATAGCCAAATATAGAACAAGACAAAAATTGCCCTCCTTGTTAATTCTACACTCAGCAAGTAAACCAAAATGTTCCTCACATATCATTGAAATGTTCAAAAGAATAAAAACAAAACTTAATGAATATGGCATAGAAAACCAGGGCCCTCGAGATCTGACCCTGGCAAATTCATAGATTTCAGTGCACTTCTAATTAAATGAAAAGGAAAAATAATTGAGTTAAGGCTTAGTAAAAGATTATTTTAGAGCTAAGGAAAAACACAATAAAAAAGACAAAATGCATTAAGAAATGTAAACTAAAAGTACTTCAACTGATAAGTTATTCCAAGGGATGTTTCTTTGGTAGAACCAATAAAATTAACAAATCCCTCATAAATTCAACATAAGGGATCTTTCTTTAAAATCTCTGGCAGATATGTCACATTACATTTTTTATAGACAAACAATATGTTTTCTGTCTCAGTGAAAACTATACAATTCTAAGTCCTTTGTTTCTTATAAGGAAAAAATTAAAACTACTGCTCCCATTTCTAAAATGGTGGGACTAAGCCCTAGAAAGATCTATGAGGAAAGCAGACTTCTCTTCCATCAAAAACCTCACCTCTGAGCCCCCCTCCCTTCATTGGAAATTACTTCCTTTTCTTAGCCCCCAGACAAGCCTTAGCTAGGGAGCTCCACCCAGTCCTGTCCTGCTCAAGATGTTCGTGCTGGTGATTGCATTCCCCCAAGACAATGACCTCAGCTGGCTCTCGCCCCAGCTCAACGCCAGCAATAGTTCTGACAACAAACTGAGTTCTGAGAGAGGCAGTGAGATAATCCAGTTGGTGAACAGCAAAACCCAAATCTAATGCAGGTCTCCATATGTTGGGCTGCAAAATCAGGTAGAATTTAATGGAACAAATAGAAAGTGTTGCACTTGAGATCAAATAGCCAGTTTTACATACAAGCAGGTATAGGAAAACCCGACTTAGTAAAGGTTATACAGGGAGAAGTGCATCTGCAGAATAACCAACTCAGTATGTGCCTTGGGAGAAAATAAATCAGGAAACAACTCTCCCATTTCTAATGTATAAAGGTGGAACAAGCCCTAGACAGATTTGAGAAGAAGCAGACTTGGCCTTCATCAAAAACCTTGCCTCTGAGGCCCCTCTTCTCACTATCTGTGGATAGCTACCTTGGTAGGCAGCCAGAATGCCTCTGACAAATGCAAGCTAATACAGTCTTAACCATTTAGGTCTAAGTCAGAAGAGCTCATAGTCCTGGCTATTCTACCTGTAGACCATATGGTTCCAAGTCCCACATTTTAAGAATTTCAGTGACAAAGGCAATGTCCACAGGAGAAGAGAAGATGTATCTGGAAACCATATTAATAATTCATTCATGAGCTGGGCACTGGTGGGGTGGCTCACGCCTATAATCCTAACTACTTGAGAGACTAAGATTGGGAGGATCACGGTTTGAGGCCAGCCCAGGCAAATGATTCTCGAGACCCCCATCAAGAAAATAACAACAGCAAAATGGTCTGGAGGTGTGACTCAAGTGGTAAAGTACCACCCATCATGGAACTCACAGTCTGCTCTGGTAAATAGTCATATATTCACATAAACACAGGCCCACTCACTGAGTGCTGCAGAAGAGGTCCACCCGTGAGCAGTGCAAACAGTAATGAGCCCCCTGTGGGATGAGGAAAGACTAGAATAACCAGAGATTTAGTCAAAGTATTGAGGTGCAAGAGTATCTTCTGCTATTTGGAGGAATCCCATGCAGAAAATGATGAGGCTTATTCCGTACGTATAGCTTTAGGAGGCCACCTTGGAGAGGTTGGGAGGACTTCAGATTTTGACTCAACACACTCAGCTTTCACAACTAAAGTGTTCCAGCCATTGAACAGATGGCCTGAGGTCTTCACCCCTAGAACTGTGTGAGCTGCTGGCAGAGTGGCCAACTGTAACCAGGTGCTCTCTGAAGAACACCTCCTTTGCGTGTCTCTTTTACAACTTGAAGTTTCTAAAGACCCCATTCAGTTTTGGCTAAAGTACTTATGGCTGATTGTTTTTTAATGACTAAAGAATGTTTTTTAATGACTAAAGAAACAAGTACTCCTGGAACTGTTTTTCATTTGAACAGGAAGTCATATGGGAGAGAAGCAGTGGACAGTACAGCTAATCAGCTCATGTCAAAAAGAATTCCAGTCAGTGTCATTGGTGAAACTCTCTGGGAAGAGGGCCTTCCCAGAATGCTTCACTCTCGGATTATAAACTGGCCCTATCTGGTCTTCACGTATATTCTTTTTGATCCATACTGTATATTTAAAAATTAAACTTATTGCTAACATTAAAAAAGATCAAATTTCACATAAAAATCATATTTTCACGTTGTTTTGAAAAATCAGATCTAGTGATAATGGGCATGTATTTATTCAAAAAATTATTATTGGGGACTGAATAACTTCCCTTTAAAGGAAGCATGTACTCTTTCCAGTTCCTTCTCCCATCACTCCCTGTTGCCACCCCAAGCCCAGACCAAACATATGGTTACCAGTTAGCATGATGCTTGTGTCGCTATTATTTCTCACAGTCCTTCTTTCAAAGCACGTAGGAGTCACCTGCTGTGTGAAGAAGCTTTATAGCAACTTTGACATTACTTTCATTTAAATAATTCTGCTTCCTTTCCAATACAGACTGCTTTTGAAAGTTTTTATTAAATATTTTTGCAGATTAAGTTCTGCAGAGTCAGGGAAATTGACCCATCAATAGGCTGGACTTGCCCAATTTAGGTTCTTTCTAGGAACTGCACCTTACACTTAAGCACAGTCTATTCTGGTCCTAATCAGTTGGCCTCACACTCGCATAGTCCACAGTCTGCTTGGTGAGCAAGTACTCCAGGAAGGAACTAATTGGAATCTAGCTTGCAACCTGCCAACTGTTGTACATTTGAAGTTCTTAAAAGAACTTCCAGAAACGGAACTTAGAATTAGTTCCTCACATTGTGTTTTCAGAGGCAGTTTTATTATTCCCTACTGTGTCTCCTCCTGTTTCTGATAACACTGAAGTTAGCACAGGAGATTTTAGGCTTTCTCTTTGCTGTTTGGAAATTAGAAGCTTAAAATAGATACATTCAGGCCATTTGAATTCAGGGTTTCCCCCTTGTAGAGCAGGTGCTCTACTGCTTGAACCATACCTCCAATCCATTTTGCTCTGATTATTTTGGAGATGGGAGGTCTCATGAACTATTTCTCATGGGCTGGCCTCAAGCCTCAGTCCTCCTGATCTCAGCCTTCCAAGTAGCTAGGATTACAGGCATGAGCCACCATGAGCACAACCAAGTGGTGGTTTCATTCCTTTCACTTCTTATTATTTTTTCTAGCACTTGTGCCTAGCCATTAGGCACCTCTTCTGAATGGATTGCTTCATTCTTTGCTAGATCTTTCCTTTCACTCAAAGATATTTTTATTAGGAAGATGCACTCTCATGCAGTATTGATGTAAATATTGTATTGAGGGATTGTAAAATGGCACAATCATTGTTGGAAAACAGTTTAAGCAGTTTCTTAAAAAGTTAAACATACATCTATCATATGACTCAACCATTCCAGCAATAGGTATTTGCCCAAGATAAAGGAGAAAATGAAATAAATCTATAACCAGGTAAGATTTGTACACAAATGTTCATGTATATATACATATATATGGGTCAAAACATACCAAATTGGACCCTTTATGTACAAGTTATTGTGCCAATTTATGCTTCACTAAAGGAGTTCTAAATAAGTAATTATAAAACAAAATAAATGTTTTATAAAATAAAAACATTCTAGAATAATTTACCATCCATTGAACATCAGTCTAGTATATGTCACATGTTACATACCATATTAAGCATCTCCTAGGAGAGAAGGTCAAATTGAAGTAGCACTAACAGTAATTTGGCACAAGTCTTGAGTGACCAGAGCAAGCAGAGACTATACAACTGTCTCAATTTCAATACAGTGTATGATGGGCAATCTTTATGAGGTCATATGAAAACTATGTTTCACATTTTTTTTAAAAAGGGAGAAAAAAGAGGGTAACAGAATGGAATAAGTTTTTCTAACACACTTGTTTAAATTAAGCAATAATTCACATGCCATAAAATTTATCCTTTTATGGTGTACAGTTCAGTGGTTGTAGCATATCACAGATTTGTACAGCCAAAGCCACTACCTAATTTCAGAATGCTTTCATCACCCAAAAAGAAACCTTATCCCTATTAAGCAGTCACTCCCCACTTCCTCCTCCCTCCTGCTCTGGCAGTCACTTATCTACTTCCTGTCTCTGGATTTGCTAATCTGGACATTTCATATAAATTGAATCATGCTCTATGTGGCCTTCTGTGTCTGGCTTCCTTCAGGTAGCATAGTGTTTTTAAGGATCTCACACTTGCTAGGCATGCACGCTACCGCTTGAGCCACTCCACCTTCCCCCCTTTGATGTAGGTTATTTTTGAAATGGGATCTTGCTTTATGCTGGGCCTTCCTTGACAGCAATCCTCCTATTTGTGCTTCCCGGAATAGCTGAGGATGACAGGCAAGCACCACTGCACCCAGCCATTGGTTGAGATGGGGGAGCTTGTGAACTTTTTGCTGGGGCTGGACTTGCACACGATCCTCCCTATCTCTGCTTCCAGAGTAGCTAGAATTACAGACTTGAGTCACCTCGTCCAGCTTACATAACTTCTTTGTGCAAAGAGTTCACATTCCAGTACAGCTGCTAGATCAGATGCCTGGACTCATCTAGAAACCAAATGTGTGCACTTGACACAGGAATTGTACCAGGGTGGTAGCAGGGAAACTCACCTCTGCCCTCCTGTGCACCCCTCCTCATTTCCATCTCCTTCTCCCCAGTCCAGGCCTCAGGGGTTACATGGTTTGGTTTCTAGGATAGCCAAATCATGGATTCCTGCTTTCTTCCTTACTACACCCAGTGAGATTGGGCCAAGCAGACCGTGCACAGCCTCTTTTTATAGAGGATTCAAAAGCTGAACTGCTAATGCTGCAGCATGGAGTTAGGGAAGAGAGCTCGGCACACGGCCTGCGTTTCCAAAGTCTTCTCTTCCTTTGCTGATCTTTGAGGAAACAAGAGAAGAGGGCCCAGCAGAAAGGCAGAATCAGCAGAAGTGTCAAACAGAAGATGTCCATGTATCTGGTATTCAAACTGGACACAGAAAAGAGTTTCTATGGGCTTAATTGACCAAATAAGATGGTCCTTTGTGTAGCTGCCTGCCATTGTCAGCTCTTTTAATGATGTTCTAATAAATCTTGGCTTTCTCCTAAAAAAAAGATGCGGTAAGATTGCTCCACAATGCTTGACACTTAATAGAACGGTTGTTGAACCAAGTGATCGGTAACATGCCTGATAGGCATCTAAAGAAAAACTTTAAATCCATCTTTCTAAACTTGGCAATTGAGTAATGTATAAACATGCATATATAAATCCTTAATAGTCATAAAACCTGTGGTCCTAAAAAATCACATGCCTGTGACCTTAACTGATACAGTTCAGAACTGTGGCCCTGCACCCTTGGATATGAGGCCCAGTATTATTGTCTACTCAGGACAAGTCATCAAAATGTCAAAATCTTAATTTATTTAAGCATTCTGTTCTTACTTGTACTCCTTGTGGTACATGTAGTGCTTCTGGGTTCTTTTACTTAGATTTTGGTTTCTTGTTTCACATCTAGGCCAGCTCCATTTTTCTGCAAAATGAGAAAACCTGTCTGAAATTAAATTTAAATAAAATTTTAAAAACTTTAATCCCAGTTCTAAATTACTCATCTGTCATAAGACAGTGAACATCCGTTTAAGCACGATGGTAAGGAGGGTAATGGGTAGATTCTGAAGGCACAGCATTTGGTGCCTGACAGACCTGGATTCCAGTTCTGTTTCTGACACTTATTATCTACGTAATCTTGGAAAAATTACTTATAAGATCAGTTTCCCATCTGCATCTGCCTGAGCTATGGGAAGACTGAAATGACATAAGCCACATACAACGTTTAGCACCGGGCCTGGAACACAATGAGGGAGCAATTAACCATCAGTTATTATTATCTTGGCAAACTGGACCTCTAAATTAGTTTCTTGTGAATGAAAGTGACATAGACTCATGAAATTTATCTCACTTTGAAAGAGTTCCATATGTTACTTCTCTAATTCCATTCTTCCTCCAACAAAGTCTCCATTTGGGTAGCAATTTACATTTTAAGGTCTACTTTCATGAATATTGCGTTTTTTCCTCTGACTTTTAGTCCAACACTTTTTTTTATATGCCTCATAACATTATCACAAGCCCCAAATTTTATACATACAGGGATGACCAAAATAACAGAAAGTGGAGTGTTAACGATTATATGTCATCAAAATTAAACAAATATTGCTAAGCATTTAGCTAATGAATTAGTTGATTTTTTCCTTCGGTAAGACTATGATAAAGAATTTCTTTTACTTTATACGGATGTTGCTTATAATGCCAATGTGAAATTAATATGAAGGTCTGTGAGATAATTATCTCTTCTACTCAGAGAGAAGTAAGCACTGCAGTGAGCAGTCAATGTCAGTTCAAGCAGGTCATGCTTGACCATTGACCCCCCCCCAATAAGCAAGACTCTGCTAAGTTCAATGATTCCTACATAAACTACACACTACTACTGTGTACCTGGCAAAAAGAGAGCCGTAGCAGTATCAAACAACCACCAACCTAAAGGAATGTTTTTCTAGTTGGGAAGAAAGAGACAAAAGAACAACACCAGACATTACATAACTGCATGCTGCATTGTTCAGCACAGGCTGTAAATGCTGTTAGACAGTGGTTTCCAAAAAATGTTAGGCACCCTGGGCTCTAAAGAAAACTGCTCAGAGTGTTTCAAAATGTAAAACAGACCCAAGAAGAATTCAGTTGATTGAGGAGGAAGTGGAGGACTCCCTGTGGTCTCCTCTGGCTGTTTTTAAAACTGGCTGGACTTAAAAAAATGCCCATTTGAATGGACAGAGAGGAGGGAGGAAAGTATTCCAGGTAGAGGGACCTGCAAGAACAAAAGTAAGAAGGTGGGAATTCAAAGTGAGAAGTGATGTGCCTTCCTTCCACACCAGCATTTAGTGAGATGGAGTTGGTAAGGAAGCAGAAGGGGACCCACGTGGTTGCTCTTGGTTTCCTAGCTGATCTAATTTTTGAGTATTTTAAGGCTGGTGAAATAGTTAAACAAATTCTCTAAATTACAGTAGATGGGAAGCTTAAGGTACATGGTCAATTAACAAGTCTTGTCATTTCAGAGTCATTTCAAGTCGTCGTAAGAGGAAACGGCTTCCGACATGCCCGCAATGTGGACAGAGTCCTCTGCAGTTTCAAGATCAATGACTCAGTCACCCTCAGTAAGTTCTTACAGCATTGGTGGGTTTCTTCAGCCAGTCCCAGCATAAGCATTGCCAGCCTGTCTTCCAGCAAGGCCGCTCACAGCACCCATAGAAAAGAGAGGCCTCCAGCAAGGGCAGAGCTAGCTAGTCCTACAGATCCTTAGTTCCATTCAGAGGTGCCCCTCTGAGTGGCACAACCCCAGGGTGTCCAGCCTCGATAGCAGGGCAAGGCTGGACATACACTACCCCACACACAGTCCCCACAGCCTTCTCTGCCACAAGCAGCAGCCCAGTGCCAGCCCTCAGGAGGAAGCAGGGTGCCTGTTTCCCCATCACTACCATCTACCAGGTAGCTCACTCCAGCTGGCTGTGCAGGGGCTGGTTAGTTAAGGCTCATGGGCTTGAGGTTTCTTAACAAAGCATTGGAGACTCTCACGGGTAAGAGGGAAAGAGAGATGGTCTAAATTTATTAATCCTGAATACAGCAAAAGCCAAACTATTAGGCTTGCGTGTATACATTCTGGAACTTTTCTCAATCTGGATGATTCTTGCTTGGAGTCGCCAAGAAACTCTCATCATGGTGAATACCTTACATGAAATACAGGAAAATGGAAGTAAAACTAAGTGCATTTCATGAGAAAAATGGGTTGTCATAGCATTGGAACCTCCGAGAGACATTTGCAGTAGGCAAGTTCCTAATTTAAAGACATGTGTGATGCATGTGGCTGTCCAGGAGAGATGGGGAGATCTGGTGATGGGAGGACAAGGATGCTGGTTATTATTCGCATCTGGCTTCCATCACATAGATAATTATTGACTGTGCATCTGCAGTAATAAACAACAGCCATAATGTGCTGCACTTTCCATAGTGTGATGTGCTGTCACAGAGCCCCAGAGGAGAGGCGGGCACAACTTACTAACTAACCGCTCACAGGAGTTCCATCCTCCGTAGCGCCCTAGGAGAGCGGTCTGATCCTGTTTTTAAGGAAGAATTGAGAAATAATTCTTTTTTTCCTCCCTGACATCTTAAAACCCACTTGAATATTTAAACAAAGATGTGCAGTGACTTCCTTACTAGCATCTGGAATTCCTGGCCTTGGAATGATATCAAACATTGGAAACATTCAATTGGTTTTCTTAAAATTTGGAAATGCTCTCACTTATCCTAATAATGCATACTGTTTTGCAAATGTTTTGAAATGTCCCTGAGTTATCACAGTGTGAAAGTTGGCTCCCTACGTGGTTCTGCCCACCCCCTTTCATTGTGATGTCACTTCTCTGCATTCCCTCTCCTGAACCAAAATCCCAAGCCCAATCAGAAAGTCCTGAAGGTTTAATTCACTTTCCAGACAAGCAAGCTTTCAGACCCAACTTTTATGGAGATAAATAGAAGTGGGATGGGGAGAGAGGTAGCCTTCCCTATAGCCGTTGCTGGAACGGTTAAAGAAGGTGCTGTTCCAGTAGATGAAATGCATAATTACTGTGGGTTTGTAGAGTGACGTTTGGAACGCCTGTTTTCCAACTTTCCCATGAAATTTTATTTCTTGGAAAATTAGGCCCTCTCTTCCTTTCCTAATATATACTTGTCAACACATAGACGGCGCTCCCTCTCAGTCATATTCAAAAAGAAGTTGGGCCATTGGGACACAGATTTGGCTTAAACCATAAGGCTAATTAAGCTTCCAGCACAATGCTAATGGTTTGGAAAAGACAAAGGCAGTGAATGGATCCTACTGTGCACTAGCAATACTCCTAAACTCAAAAGTATAACTATTAAAAATATTCTAACATGGAGGGCAGTTAGAGTTTGAGGAAAACACTTGGCCCTCACTCATTACTTCACCTGTTCACTTCCACGCAGTAAAGGATGATGGAAAACTAAAAATACACTTTAAAACGCGGGTGGATATTGACATCTCCACTTTTCTATCAACCTGATGAATGAGCAGTCTCTATTGATTCCTCCCTAGAAAATAAAATGTATTTAGATTCCTTGACTTTTCCCATTCTTCCGTCCCAGCTCTGTAGCTCCAGTTGTAAAATGTTGTCTGCTCTCCTTTTTATTATATATATTTCCTTTCTCAAGATATTTTTGCCAAAGTGATGCATTACATTTTGTTAAGAGAGAGAGAGAGTCAGAGACTGAGAGAGAATATAAGAACTATTATTAGTCAGAAAAAGGCTAATAATGACGTCAGCAAGGTCTAAAGGTGAAGAAAGGCAGTAGCCACCTCAAACACAAGATATTTCAGGGTCTTCTGCAAGCGATGCAGCAGCAGATCACATGAAGCAAAAACGGTTAAAATGATAAAACAGGCTGGCATGGCTCAAGCAGTAGAGCACCTGCCTAGCAAGCATGAGGTCCTGAGTTCAAACCCCAGCACTGCCAAAAAAAAGAGCAAAATGATACTTTTACTGTGAGATATTCATATGATTTTCCAAACCTTTTAATGAACTTATTAATAAAATAAAGGTATAAAGCATATATATGTTTATATTATACCTTTTTAATAACTATGAACAAACTTGCAAGCTCATACTGACACAAATAAAATGCCAACATATTAATGTTAAAAAATAGAAATTGTTTTGATATATTTTGATGGTAAGTATAACCAGAAGAAAACCCATAGGTTAATTAATACCTATTCCTCTCCCACTCTTCTTTCCTTGCCTTTACATAAAAATAAAATCAACCAGTCAGCCACTGGGTATTATAAAGACATCAATTCTGTCTTCAAGTTAATAATTTTTAGTACATTCCCAATGACAATTCCAATGGGGCTCTTTAACTTAACAAAATAATTTTAAAGTTTATATGGAAGAATAAACATACAAGAATAGCCAAGAAAAATGTAGAAACTATCCTAGCCACTTTTAGGATATATTTTTAAAAAGCTTCAGTCATTGAAACAATGTATAACTGATGGAATCGGCAAGCTGAGCCTTGGAACAAGGTCCATAAACAAAGCCAAATACTTAGGTGAATTTAGTGTAAAATCAGTGGAGAAAGAGTGGGTAATTCAAAAAACGGTGTTGAGACAACTGGCTAACCACTTGGAAAAACAATTAGGTTTGATTTTTGTCTCATGCCTTACATTTAAACAAATTCCAGATGAACTACAGATTTTAATATGAACATGAAGCTATAAAATTTCTGGAAGGAAACAAAAATAAATATTTGCATAATCCTCTAGTGGGCAAAGACCTTTTAAGCATGAAAGGACATACCATGAAGGACAATATTAATAATTTGAGCACATAGTTTTTAATTCTTCTGTTACCTACCCCAACAAAAACAAAAGGGCATGAGAAAAGTAGATGGATGAATTGTTTCTAATATGTATAACAAAGGGTCAATAAGCTTAACATAAAGATAACTCCTAAATTCAGTTTTCTAAAAGGTATAAAAATGGGTAAAAGACATGAAGGAAATTTACCCAAAAAAAGTGACCAATAGCACCTAGAAAATGCTCAAGTGTAAATAAGAAAATGCTGTTGAAATAGATGCCAATTTTACTCTATCAGACTGGCAAAGTTGAAGTAAAATACAGTAGCCTAGCTGATATGGTAAAGACAAAGGGGAACAAGTTTTCATTCATCATCACGGAGAGGTCATTGAAACTTTTGGAAGGCAATTCTTAAAATGCATCAATTGCTTTTGTTCACGTTTGACCCAGAATTTCAATCTCAACTTCATCAAAAGGAAGTGACTGAGAATGTTTATAAAGACTTGGCAACATGAATTCTCACCACAATGTTGCTCTTTTGCATGATAGGAAAAGAGAAAGGGATGAGAGATGGGGGAACATCTAAATGGTAACATAAATATTTAACACCAGATAATCTATTATATGGCTATGCATAGTACATCTATATATTATGTTTTGCCCCTAAACAATTAAAAAATGCTTAGAAGAGCAATTACCAGTGTGGGAAAATGTGGTATCATATGTTAAAATCAAAGCACAAAACAGTACATCAAAGCTATTTTTGCTTTTTCACACACATTTTACACACAGAGATTGAAAAGCATAAATCAAAATGTTAAAAGCAATCACCCATGAGTGAGACCATGATTCATTTTTGTTTTCTTCTTTCTGTCAATCAAATATCCCCTATGTTATAAGAAAAGAACTCACTAAAAGTATTTAAAATTTAGTTTGAGATTTTCACTAATTATTTAGGCCTAGCATACATCTTAAATTTAGCCTTGGGTTCCATCTTTAATCACCAGCTTGAACTCACTGCTGGCCAAGAAAATATCTTGGAAATCTTCACAAGAATTTATTTATTCTGGCTGCACTTTTTCCTACTCCAATATTTGGGTACTGTGCAGACAGATTAGAATGCTAAAAAGGAGACACCAGAGTATAAGCTGAGTGATCAATTATATGCACAGTAAATAAAAATGGATGTTTTACTAAGGCAATAATGAAACACACGCTAAGCTCTCCTGGTGTGTGGAAACACGTGAGGGATGACTATAAACAGAAGAAACTGATTTTTTTTTTTTTTTACTAAAACTCGACTTATAGGGCATGTAAGATCCATTCCATGGTTTCATAGGCATGCTTTAATTTTCTATGTAAAATTTTACTTCCCAGTTTGATTTCCACTTATTCACCAGGTCTGGTCATGGCTTAGTTTCCGAACACTCGCAAAAGATAAAACATTACCCCCTTTAAAGATATTTTTTTAACTGAACATTAGTCACAAAGGCAGTTGTTAAGGGTTCCAAAGAGGGACTGAACTTCCCAAGAGAAACACGACACTCATTGGAACCTTGAAATCCTGGTGTGTTTTTAAAATCTGTCCAATTACCTAGACACTATACTTCAGCTTAGAAACCACCTGGGCCCCAGGACTGCTATTGGCTCCCTAAAGAGACCATCACTGCACCTATGCTAGCTGCTGGGGAGGGAGGCAGAGAGAAGGAGAAATCTTAAACTTTCCAAACAGAAGCCTTTGTCTTGGGTTAGAGTGTTGCACATGTTGGTCAAAGGTACTTACTGCAA